AAAAACATTTATACTTATGCATTTCTTTTAGGTTTTAATATACATTAACTTTGCTGAGAGAAAAGACTTTAAATTTTCTTTCTTGTTTAATACCAGCCTAGAAAATTTGGTCAAGTATAAACTGTTATTCATTAATGTTTTTTGTAATTTATCAACTGTTCTCTTTATTTTAATGAATTTATTTTTAAATATATAGGAGTTTTAATCTAACTCTACCAAAGTTCATCACTGATTTCACACCTTCTAAATAACTTATAGCCTGACAATAACTTAGCAGATTATTTTTTCCTTTCATCAAAACATGACTATCAACTTACATCAGCTTGCAAAATGATTTCCACTGAGATGTCTAAAAGAATTTTCTTTTTAATATTATCAGCTTTATTTTCTTCTAATTATTATTATTTATCATTTGCATTTAATCATTTAACATTTTCATTATTTAATTCATCATTTCTTCTAATTATTTATTAATTAATATGCTTTAATTTATCATTTTCTAAACAGCATGATAGCCTTTTTTTCTAACTTTAATTTTTCTTTTCACATTCAAAAAATAGATTTTGTGAATAATATTCATAAGTCAAAAGATTACATTAGTGCTGCTTGTAGTATTAAAAATAACCAATCTCTTTTTCAGATAAGTATATGTCAGAATTTATGTTTTCAGGAGTCAGATAGTCTTAGAATATGCGAGAAACAGATGTAAGTACAAGGTTAGCATAAATGATTCATTCCTTTTGAAAAGGCTATATTTTCAAAAGTATTACGGGTACGTGCATGAAAAATATATGAAAAGAACCACAAGCTCACCAAGTTTTTTCAACTATTTCAAGTTTCCATGATAAGTGGAACACTGCTTCATCATTGAATATCATCTTGGTGGCAAAATCTCCAATGTTGACACAAAAATCTAGCTGACGGGCATAATCCTCCAGCTTTAATTGTTGCAGGAGCTATAGATGATACGATCTGAAATGCAAGGAATGAGCTCAATTATTGTCTAGATGTGTGTCACGTCACCAAAGGGGGACATACTGAATATTTGTAGAGGGTGTATAAACTTGGTGAGTTTGTGGTTCTTTTCATATATCTTTCATGTAGGTATGTAAAATACATTTGAAAATATAACCTTTTCAAAATGAATGAATCATTTATGCTAACCCTGTATAATAAATAACTAATAATTCAGATTTAAGTTCCTCCGTACGCGATAGATGCAAGACAAAATTCAGCAGAACAGATCTTTAGCTGCCAATCTTGATACAATGCTGACAGACACTATCTAATTTTTATGATGATAGCCATGAACTTGACAGTTTTGGAGTATTGTAAATAAAAAAGCAAAATTTCCAAATTAATGGATTTTGTGAAAATGTGTAGAGACGTGGCAAAAAATGATGATATAATAGAAGTTTTTTTATTGTGATGACAATGTCCCAATCATCAATCAACTCACAGACAGCAAAATCTGCAGTATAAATCACCTGAAAATAATATCACTGTCTATCATGCAGAAAATGATAGAGAGGCTGCTCAGAATGAAAACCCTTTTATTAACAATTTAGCTGTAATTCTTGACATGGCAATTGATTTTTTTTTTTTTCTTTTTTTGGTAAATTTTGAATTCTTCAAGATCATAAATACTTTATTATTTTATAAACAACTGTTTCATATTTTTAATTTTATAATTTATACATTTCATCTTAGATTTAAACTGATGATCTAAAATCTGGAAAATTCCCATATCCTGAGAATCACCGAAATCCTGATGTATCTGGATCTCAGAATCTGTACCATAGTTTTCCGAAATACACATTCCGTATCGATATTTACTAAATAGAAGGAGCACTCATTTTAATGTCTGGATTGCTTCACTGTTATTCTTATTTTATAATATGTGCTTAAATAAAAGTTCTAGGACTGTATCTTCATTGAGAACTGCTATCATTGCTAGTTCTACCTTCCTCATTATTTTCCATAATTTTCTAAATTTATCATTACATATACACGTTTGCCTGTGTGGGTGACCTTAGATTCGTCTTTTCTTACAACTTCTCCTAAAAAACTATGGTCATAAGTTTATTTATCAAAGACAACTTACTGAAAAACATCAATAAATAAATCTACAAATAAGATTAAAAATTATCAAGTAAATGAATCTACACATGCATATATTGTATAAGAATTATTTACCAACATCTTTAGGCAACTTTACATAAAAAGTACCTTTTTACCATATAACAATAATACTTTTCAGAACATTTTCCTCACACACTTTAAAAGAACATGTAACTCATACTACATTTAAAATAAAAACATTTGACATGAAAAGTGATTAATCATTTTTGATGCCAAATGCTTTTGCTGCCACTCACTCTGAGACTTTTAAAATGCTTTCCATTTTAGACTACTATGTTATCACTCAATTTTGGCTTACCAGTGTTAGCCATACTTAGAGGTCATGGTTTATATATCATGGTGCAAACTACCCCATTGTTTTAGCAAATTTTGGAGAGTTTTCCAAGACAACATGAATATTTCATTTTTATATAAATGGCAAAAAAACTACAAACTTTGATTTTTTATTAGCTTTTAATTTTGGTTATAATTAATAAATTAATATTAGATATTGTGAAACTAGTTTAAAGCAGAATTTATGCAAAACCTATACTTCAAAGCAACCTTATTCCAAAATCCAAACAAGAATTTTAAAGCATAAATTGCACTCAGGTTTACTAGAGTTCCAAAATACAAGAAAAAGTCATTTCCCAAGTCACCATTCTTTGTTTTCCAATGTCAAAAAACATTTTTGAAGTCAAGTTTCAATTTTAAAACATGCTACTTAATGAAATTTTTTTTTAAATCCTCACTTGTGCAATTATCATGCATGAAAGTGCTACTCAGATGAAAACTGAAATCTTGATCTAATATAACAGCACATATAACATGAATATGTTTTGGTTGAGAAGTTAAAAAATGCATAGTCAATGACTGATAAGATCATCCTTTTACATGCAACAAGATGACAATATACTGTACAGTGGCTTACATTTGATTTTGGATACCTGTGTTTTTTAGTTTTATTTACAAATATCAGCCAATAAACATTAGAAAAATTACTTTTCCTTTTTTTTTTGCACATGTACTATTGATCCTGTTTAAAACCTGTGTGTTTTAACAGAAATTACTCAAAACAATTTTGGTTTAAAAAAAATATTTAAAGAGTTCTGAAAATGATCTTACATAAGTATTCACGCAGCAGGCACTTTAAACAAATTACATTTAGTAAAAACTTGAAAATAACATGACATTCAATCGTTTGTTGGAAAACCTTTATCTAAAATGATACCTTCATTTCTACATAAGAATTCCTTTTAGTACAACTTTCAAAGAAATATCACGTTTTCTTATTCTTTGCTTCGAATTATTCCTTGTGCATTCAATAGGATTTAAGTTTGGAAAATATTTAGGAATTTTTGTAATTTCAAGGCATTTGTACAATAATCACAATTAACTATTTAAGGCTATGTTTAGGATCATTACCTTGATAGAACTTGAATGTATTGAATGTATAGTAGAATTCTTGCAGATGTCTTCAGGTCTTCATCAAGAATATTTACATATTTATATGAATACTTATCATTTTCAAAAACATTAAATTTTTTATTCCAAAAGCAGTAATACATCTCAAAACCATTATGCCTGTACCCCGTGAGTGCAGTACCCGATATATAGGGTTTCTCGAAGAATCAGCTTTTACCATACATTAATTCATTTATCTGACCCAAATATATTAAATTTTGACTTTTCTTCAATTTTCTATATTTTGCAAATGCCAGGCATATTTTCCTTGTTGACAAAGAATTTTCCTTTTGCTGATTACCCACTGCATATATGATTCTAACAGCTTCAAAGTTAACGTTTATCATCTCCTCTTCTAAATCTGCTGAAAATTAATAGTACTGATTTTGGGGTTTTTTTAATTTTTAGTAAAATAAATCTGTGATTCATTGGTGTTCACTTGGAATTTAGTCCATACCTGGGTATGTAGCCCTCAAACTTTTAATATTTTAATTTGATACACTTAAAGGCTATTACAAACTATAAATATATAAAATTTGCTGATATGCAACTTTGACAGCAAATTATTCTTATTCCATGGCAAGGGAATAAGTAACTTATCTTTAATGTTAATTATTTTTCATATTATCTATTCTTGTACAGTAATGATACTAATATTTACGACATAACTAGATGTATATTTTACGGCAGATGTTATTTTCACAGGTGTGTGATCTTCATAGGTATTCTGGTATAAGTCTTCATATAACAGATTTCATGTAAAATACATTGTGTTCCTAAATGAATATCAGGGTTTTAACACTTTGTAGTATTTATTACGTAAAACTTAAAATCATAATTAATACATGAAATGAAAAAGTAAGTCAAACAGTTGTTTGTTAGTTTGCACACACGTTAGGAAGCACTAGTGGTAAAAACAGCGACTAGTAAAAAGACTGTTCACTAGTTCACATTTCACTTCAACGTGCATTTTGGATTTAGATGTGATCCCCCAAGTGATAATAACATTTGTAGATGGTATCATCAGTTTGAAAATACTGGCTGCTTCTGCAAAGGGAAGAGTACGGGATGACCAAGGGTTAGTGAAGAAAGCATTGAGCAAGTGATACAGTCTTTCATCCATAGCCTGAAAAAATCAGTTGGGAAGGCATGAATTAGCAGTTTCGGTGATGACAGCCCGGAAAGTTTTACATAAAGGCCTTACAACTACGTCCTTATTGTTTTCAGTTACTACAGGCTCTAAAGCCTACAAACCATGGTTTACGTGCCAACTTTACGCACAAAATGTTGTTACACGACAATTTTCTGGATCATGTTGTTTTCAATGATGAATCGACATTTTACCTCAATGGACATGTGAACATTCATAATGTGTGCATCTGAGATTCATAAAATCCTCATGAGATGGTATAATTGCATCGAGACTTCCCTAAATTGAATGTTACCCGAATTAAGAAAGAGGATTGAGGCAGCTGTTGCAACAATTATACCAGAAATATTAATGAACATTTGGGAAGAACTGGGCTATCAACTTGATGTGTGCCGTGTGATGAAAAGTGCTCACATTGAACACTTGTAAGCTTGTAGGCATAAATGTTTGAGTTGCTCCTTCATTTCACGTATTAAAATAATTTTAAGTTTTACGTAATAAATACCACAAACTCCGATGTTAATTTAGAAACACCATGTAAATGTTTCATGTAAGTCTGTATATGTTGCATGCATTTCATATACAAAATGATTTACTTAAGAACTAAAACATGCATTAGATGTTTCAATCAAAATATGCATTAGGTTATTTATGCCATTAAAAATAATACAAATTAAATAAAGTGCCTATTTCCTTAAATACATATTTTATGCACAGAATAGATATTCATTTAAAAGATACTTTCAGTACTTAAAATCTAAATCTTAAATTCGGTACTTAAAATCTAGCCTGACTTGAATTTTACTCTTGAACATTCACTAATTCACAACTAATTAAACTACATAAAATGTCCTAAATTTTCTTATTTAACAAGAAAAAAAAATCTTATTCAGGATTTAAACCCATCAATATTCAATTGTCAATGTAGTCCATCAATCTAATTTATGATCTGAATCTAACACTTGATTCTCAATAACTGTCACTTAACTCACTTTTTGTATATGAAACTTTCTTTCAAGTGTTATTCCAATCCTGTAGCTGATGGCAGCCACCTATAGCTCACTGTTATCTTCACTTTTGCAATAACCATGTTATATAAGATGTATACATGTCTTTATGAGCCTTTTTTTACATTATACATGAATATACTATTAACACTAGCATACTTGTCAACCTATGACACTCAAAAATCAGGAGATTTTTCACAATGTTAAAAAGACTTTTTAAATGATAAAAA